GACACGTAAATGAGCAAAATCAACAGGAAGCTGAATTCTGGAGCTTGACATTAGTGTTATCGAACGAGAAAGAAATATTTGTCCACCTGGTGCTAGCATACCCAAACATTTGACACCAAGAATTGTAGTGGAGAAATATTGGCTGTTTTATTATGAATGGTGCTGCCCAGGAGAATGGGAATTTAATGCTCAAAAGCTCGAACTCCCCAATGGCATGTAGTTTATAGATTATATAGGGAAAAATCACAAGACACCGTGAGTTAGGAGGTTCGGGATTGTGGGGGGAGCTGATTGATTGGAAGTGAGCTAAGAGTAATAAATCACTTCATGAGGTCTTGAGGACAGTTCTGAGGTTTGTACTGGTGCCCTTTTATCTGGTTCTTAGGAAAGTAGCTGAGGGTCGTTCCACCTTAGGACTCAGAAGCTGCAGTATAACTTAGGTCAAGATGTTATCTTTAGCCTGCTGGAGGTCCAGGCCCTGTGAAAAGACTAGGTCTCTAAGGGGTGAATAAATAAATATATATGAGAGAGATGGTTTCTAGAGGTAGGATTTATGCCTAAATTAAATCAAAGACATAAGGACCCCTGGTTTCATTAGTCACCTTTTCCAGTATAAATATTCTCAAACCTGCAACAGAATTTCCATTGCTGAACCAAGGTGGTTGTTTGCTAAATTTAGTCAAGACAGTTTTTCCTCCAAGTTTGCATGAAAAAAATAAGGACTATTCCTTTAATACAGCGGTTCTCAACCTTCCTAATGCTGTGACCCTTTAATACAGTTCCTCATGTTGTGGTGACCCCCAACCATAAAATTATTTTCGTTGCTACTTCATAACTGTAATTTTGCTACTGTTATGAATCGTAATGTAAATATCTGATATGCAGGATGTATTTAGGCAACCCCTGTGAAAGGGTCTTTCGGATTAGATTAAATATACCTTGTTTTCTACAAAGCATGGGCCTTCCATTTGAACACATTTAGTCAAGTCTTAACCCAATTTCATAGCATTTGGGTCATGCTCTTCTTTCTGGCCCCTGAACTCCTGAAATGTTACTTCATCATCTCAGCAGATCAGATTTGACTCTGAAAATGATGATGGATTCTCCAAACCTGGTCTGTATACAGAAGTAAGAATATTCTCAATCTTTTCGCTTCATCATGACCTGACTAAAAGAAGTAAATGTGCTGCCTTATTAAAGTAGTCTGTTCTATTGCCTGTTCGGGGACATGGTAGAAGGCAGAGAGAATATATTTGAGTGGTGTTTGGAGAGTGAGTTTCAAACTTTTCAGAAATTTGAAGCTGAATAAATATTGGTTTTTATAGTTTGTCAAATACAGAAAAAGAACATTGCTTACTTTTCTTCCTTTCCTTATAGTAGCATTAATAGAGATAGGTTATCATTACTTAAGAAATCTGAGCATTCATCTTATGTGAGCAGTAATAGTATAATAACCAGTAGTAGTATATTAATATAATAACCAATAACCGGTAGTATAATAATCTGCAAAGCATGCAAGTCATTTTGAAAAGCTGAGCAAAATAATTTCAGGGACCCTTTTCTTGTCTTTTTATTGGACTAACTCATTCAGAAGAGTCCATTTATGTTTTGTAATTTTCTGGTGTGCCTAGTATAAAAGAATAAGATGTTTGCTTTTTCTTCTTTACCATTTATTCAACAAGTGTTTTTTGAACTGCTCTGGTATGCCAAGCATTGAGCTGGCCACTGAGAAGTAATTAACATTTGCCTCACACTTAGAATGTGCCAGATCTGTTTTAACCACTTGATATTATATTAACTCATTAAATACTTAGTACAATTCTGTGGGATATGCACTGTTATTCTTCACATTTTACAATGAGAAACATGCGGCACAGAGAAGTTTGTAGCTGACCCAAGGTCACTTGGCAAGTAGGAGGTGGGGACGAGAACCCAAGCAGTCCGCCTCCGCATCTGCCCTCACCCATTCTGCTGTCCTGTAGTGCTTACCCTACACCTTTAACTTCTATGCGCCACCTTCACCTCTGCTGGGCGCTAGTCTCATTTTACATTTGCCTGAGCATTTGAGACTGAATCACTGTGGTGTTTGTAGGTGATGGTTATTGAATGCCTGACCCTATACATTTGTGTGCCTGGAACTTGAAAATACTTAAAATATGTATGTTGAATGATTTTGACAACCAAGAGAATTTCAGATGTGATGTTAAGAGAATTTGGAATTAATTTGGTTGTTCCTGTGATTCGCTATGAAGAAAATAGTCATGTCTAAAGACTTTAGTTGCTACATGACCCAGTGTGTGTGTGTGTGTGTGTGTGTGTGTGTGTGTGTGTGTGTGTGCACCTATGCTCTGAGGTCTCACGCACATGTATTTATAAACATTTTTATTGTACATATAGAGGCTACAGGGACAAAATTTCCTCTTCTCTGTGACATCATTAGTTATGTTGCCAATCAGCCCCACCTTTTCCACTCTGCTCTTGTTATCCCCTCATGATTTGTCCTCTGTGTGTCACCCCCTAGTCTGACCGGCAGTACTGCGCAAGCCTGCCTGCCATGGGCTGTCGGGACGTCCATGCAGCCACAGTGCTCTCCTTCCTGTGTGGCATCGCCTCGGTAGCAGGCCTCTTTGCGGGGACTCTGCTTCCCAACTGGAGAAAATTGCGACTGATCACATTCAACAGAAATGAGAAGAACCTGACTGTTTACACAGGCCTGTGGGTGAAGTGTGCCCGGTACGACGGGAGCAGTGACTGCCTGATGTACGACACTACTTGGTACTCGTCAGTTGACCAGCTGGACCTGCGGGTCCTCCAGTTTGCCCTGCCCCTCAGCATCCTGATCGCAATGGGTGCCCTGCTGCTCTGCCTGATTGGAATGTGTAACACGGCTTTCAGGTCCTCGGTGCCCAACATCAAACTGGCCAAGTGTCTGGTCAATAGTGCAGGCTGCCACCTGGTGGCGGGGCTGCTGTTCTTCCTGGCAGGTACTGTGAGCCTCTCCCCATCCATCTGGGTCTTCTTTTACAACACCCATCTGAACAGGAAGTTCGAGCCAGTCTTTACATTTGACTATGCAGTGTATGTCACAATCGCTAGTGCTGGGGGCCTGTTTATGACTTCCCTTCTACTGTTTATTTGGTATTGTGCATGCAAATCTTTGCCTTCTCCTTTCTGGCAACCACTGTACTCCCATCCTCCCAGTATGCATACTTACTCACAGCCCTATTCAGCACGCTCCCGCCTCTCTGCCATTGAAATCGACATTCCAGTAGTTTCACACAACACCTAATGGAGAAGTGGTTGTTAAAGAACACTTTTCGCCTCACATTTCCCTTGTACAAGGAGCTGTCTTGGACCAATATATATTTTCCTTTGTTTCTGACCAGTCTATGAAACCAGATTTGTATGTCCTAGTAGAATGAAGTGCTGCTAGTTTTATGAAAAGTACACTATTTTAAATGTGAATCGTTCTTTTATCTTGCTCCTTATGCTAGGAGGATTTTTAACCTCTATATTGATATCTGATCAGTAATTCAAGTGGAAAGGACCCGTGTCTCAATTGAGGTGATTTAGAGCAACATGGCAGTGTGAAAAATGATGGCTAAGAGAAGTTGTTGTATGTGATCTTTACAAATATTTCAGAATGTGTCTTGTCCTGTTTCTGTACTACCTTAAGCCAGTAAAAAAAAAAAAAGCAATTTCAGATATAAGAAATTTATTTCAGGTAATGGTAATTCAGATCTTTACAGTAGTCAGACTACCAGCTTAAGGCTGTGACTTTTCTTAGTTCTCTCTTGGGGCTAATTGCATTGGATAGAGTTCGGTATTTTGAAGATTACTTTCTTTTGTGAGTTCCTTACCTTCTACCTCATGCCAATGTTTAAAAATATATATATTTTAAGTGATATCAGAGAAAATAAGCTAAACATTTTAAGTATCTATTAGTATGGACAACATTTAACAATTTTAAGAGTTAATGATTCTATAAATTATATTCTTGGAGTTAAAATGTGCCATGAGATGGAGTGGTGCTTCCTTTGAGGCAGAAAAACCTGTTTTACAGGTATCACCCACTAAGTGGTATCCTGCCCATATATAATCTCTTAGTGACTAAGAGGAAATAGATATAGAGGTCCAAGTGGTTTGTTCTCTTTTAGGCAGTGGCAGGGTACGAGCATCTGCTCTTCAGTGACAAACATCAGAGATTCACTATCATGACTATCTTTTGAGTGATGGGTGAAGTAAAGTATAGCTTCACCATGACCACATTCACTCTTGAATCAGTTCCTGCCCCCATCACTGAGTACTTCCTTAAACATATGTCTTTGCCCAACACTTTAGTAGGTGCTCTACAGCAGTAGTCACCAACCTTTCAGACCTCGTGGACCACCAGTGGTCCACGGACCTCCGGTTGGCAAACACTGCTCTAGAGGATACATGAAAAGTAGGAGACCTTGTCCCATTCACTAAAAAATTTTGATAGAGAAGGCCAAACTATTATCTGACAATTAGGGAACAGTCTGACTTCATTGATAGCTTGTCTTAACTCCTCAGTCATTGATCCAGGAATATGTTGCAACCAGAGACATGGCTTTCTGATTGACAAGCTTATTGTGTAGTGCCAGCAATATCCTGGAACCTAGAATTTCAATTCATTGGATCCCTTAGAGCACCTCCCTTAGGCCTAGACACTGTAATGACACTATATAAGATTCATGAGAATGGGCAAAAGCAGTAGAGAAATTAAATGTTTACTTTTCACTTCTGAAAGTATGGTGATGTAGTAGAGAAGAGGGAATATTTAAAATCTCTCCAAATGGGCTAACATTTAGATGAAACCATGTTAACAATGAGACGAATGCTTAGAAATTCAGGGATATTGGGTCTTTACCCTTGTGAATTTGAGCTGCTTAGTTGGTGTAATTTACTACACATCAGTGCTGTGTTCATAAGGATTTTGTTCTATTAACCATTAACCATTACAGGACTGTTTTATCATTCCACAAACAGCTAGTTGCATGGTAAACAGATTCGTATGCCTCTTTGCAAACCTGCGTATGATTCTGGTACTTCTGTGGATGTGAGTGGTACTTTCCCCCCACTAATTCCAACACTAGTTTATGTATATATATCAGTAAGTCCAGGTCTGTAATTTTTAAATGCCACCAGGAGAAAGCATGCACAACTATGGGTTTTTAGTTACAGCTCCTGATTTCCTCCAGTTCTATTCCTTTTAACTCTTCTGAGATTGAGCTGAGTCTCGAACATTCCAAGACAATGGCAGGTAGAATTTTGAGATTAATATTAATTTCCCCCGTTGCTAATTAATTTCACTCCCCTCACTAACTTTCTCCAGAAGTGTCAAGAATTCCACCATCCCCCTGTTCTTCGTATAAACAATGTTAAAGAAAAGTAGACTCAGCCAGTTTTTAGTCCAGGGGATCATAAATATAAATAAGAGGAAACCCTTTCCTACAAGAATCTTTTGGATGCTTTTCATAATCTGTTGCCTTAAATCAGTATTTATTGTAGATTCACTAGACAAAAGAAACAGCTGTTTCCCTTTTTGTCTTTAATATTTCAGCTTTGCTCTCAGTAGCTATTCTTCAAAGCCATCAAAGGAAAGCAAGTATTTATGATTCTCTTTTTTAATTGTGAGCACTCATCAGGCCATCATTATGAGGGGGGATCTTTTTTGTTGTTACAAGCTATTAACATTAAGGGCCTTTTACAGCAGCCAGCTTGAAAAGCAACCTTAAATGTGGTATGATGCACCAGATTTGGTTTATCCAGCCATGGGTGGAAAGAACCCTAAGTTTACTTTACTTGTAAATATTCACTGTAATAGATAATTTGTTTGTTGTAAGCTGCAATGTAAAACCTCAATAAAACTGTACTGTACTTCTTGATGTTATTAAAAGATGTATTTTTACAAGTTTCTGTTTCTATCCTCATTTTCCTCAATGCTTTAAGGTAAAATATTTTGAGAAATGTTTTTCAAATATATGCAAATTTAAAAAGACACAGCCCCATTTAAAGCTGTGTGGAATAGGAAAACTGGATTTATTATTTTAGAAGCATCAAGACCCATTTTTAAGAGTAGTCCTAGGAGTTTACTGGACTGTTTAACATTCCACGAAGAAGCACTCAGTGAAATCTGTGCCAGATTTGCCTCATCAGTGGGGTTACCTAATGGATTGATTTTAGAGACCAGGAGTTAGCAAATGGTTAAATAGAGGACCTTTCTGTACTCTGCAGAACTTGAGGTCTCCAGGAGAAGTGGTCCTGACAGGTAAATCACCTTTAAATTTTCTGAAACCTGGAATGGGTTTTCGTGTTTTGGATTACAGTCTCCTGGGGTAGTTCTCACATGTACTCCTCACCGAGCCCACGGGGCCTTACATGGAGAGCCATCTGTTGCACTGGAAACTGAATCTGCTTCAGGCTGGGCGTCCTGGCTGATTGTGTTAACACACCACAGTGCAGAGTCTGCCCCTCAGCTGGGCAGACTGACTGAGGGTGACTCAATGCCAGAGAATCCTTTTGTGCTGATTCACCAACCAGAAGTGAGAATTATAGATTACTTGCAACCACTATCCAAGACCAGTTTTTAAAAATACACCCTTGGAGAAAAGACTGCTTCTATTCTGGCTAGGAAAGTACAAGATGGCCCAACACACCATGTTCTTCCAGAAAGTGAGGAAATGCTTGAAGAATGATGGCTTATCAAGTTACAGAGGATCCAGTCTGAAGAGGTCCTCGCTGGCCAAATCTGGGAAATATGAGCATCAAAATAAATAATAGTGGCCCAGCCGGTGTGGCTCTGGTTGAGCGCCGACCTATGAACCAGGGGGTCGTGGTTCGATTCCTCAGTCAGGTCACGTGGCAGGGTTGGGGGCTCAATCCCCAGTCGGGGGTGTGCAGGAGGCAACTGATCAATGATTCCCTCTCATTGATGTTAATCTCTCTCTCCCTTTCCCTTCCTCTCTGAAATCAATAAAAAAATATTTTTTAAAGATAATAAAAAAATAGTAAGGGTTTATAACCCATTGAATAAAGCAAAAATCCACTTGTACATGCTGCTATAAGTAAGTGGAGAGGAAAGGAAAAACTGTATTGCAGTAAAATACTGCCTCAGCTCAGGAAGGTTCTGTGTCCATGCCGTAGCGTGCAGAGCCCTTTAATCCTCACTGCACCAAGTTTGAACTTGGAAAGAAAAAGCACAAAACTTTAGCTGCCTAATATTCATATTCAATTAATAGGGAATTTGGGCTTGTTTGTTGTATTTTGCTTGGAAATACGCCAACATTTTAGACTGTCCTGTAAACAAATTATTCAGCAAAATTTGAGAAAGTGAGATGGTGAATGAGGAAAGGAGAAAGTTTTCCATATTTTGTATGAAAAACGCAGCGTGACTAAGTCCTGTTAGCAGGAGGCTAGTAATCATGATTTTGAAAGGTCTTTGTTCACTAAAATCCTCTGTAGAATAACAATGTTTGTTCAGGTCTCCAGAGTTTTGCTTTATAGAAATAGATAGAAGCTTTTCATTAAGAGAAAAGGCATTATCGATACTTTAACTGCATTATATCCAGTGGCTTCACTCCAAGATTCACACCCATCAGTTTGAAAGCCCACTTATAGTAAATCAAGATGATTCAGTTATATTTTAACATAATTTTTCCTTTCCCTCATGACCCTTTTCTTGCCTTCACTCTCTGGCTAATCCTGTCTGGAAGGTCAGGTGGGGATTTTAGCACCAGGAGGCTGCTGCAGGGAGTGGGAAGGCCCAGGTCTGGGGTGAGCAGGAAGCCCACCTTCCTCCTTACTGGCCACGTGAGTGAGGGCTTTGGCTCAACTGGTCCCATTGTGTTTCCTACCTGCTCACCTGCTCCTGGCCATAGGAGCCAGGTGGTACTGGCCAGTTGTGCTCCTCTTCCCAACTCCCTGTTCAGTGACATAAGTAGCTTGAAATTGGCCCTAGTGGAAGTATTTATGCCACAGAAATTGACAAATGCTACAAGTTAGAATCTGTTTCTCTTTCCTTTCTTTCTGTCCCTTTCCTTTTCCCCTCCCCCCTTTATTTTGGAGAGCTGCTTGTTAAACATTTACCACCAAGCACTATTGCTCAGGTAAGATTAATTTGCTGATGTCATAAGAGTTAGATTAAAACACGTAAATAAGGCACTTTGAAAGCCCAGAAGAGAGAAGAATGTATTTGTCTAGGTGGGACTCGTTGACCTATGTGACTTTCTCCTTCAGCTCATGACATGTAAACTCCCTTTAGCAGTTTCACAAAAACATGAACCATTTTTCTGCCTGTGGGATTTTTTACTGGTTGTTCCTCTGTCCATATAGCTCTTTC